GAAGGTCCTCTAGGAGTAGACTGTTCGCCTGTCAGTAAGATTTCATGGCGTTGTTGATCATAAATGAGGTGATACCGTGGTCTGTATTGACACATGTGTCCTACTCTTAGGGGCCTTGGCTATGGAGGCCCTTCATCGGCAGGTTTTACCATTCCTATTGAGGCGCCTGAAAGAAGATGTACTGCAAGATCTTCCACCTAAGATCATTCAAGATTACTACTGTGAACTGAGTCCGCTACAGGTCAGTCTGTTGTTATGACCAACAATCAAAGTGCGCCACTGGGTCGATGTATAATAGTTCTCGACAATACTTGATAGTTGTGGACAGGATATGAATATTCAAGCAGCTGTGCGAAAATTTCAAGGATCTCCAACATGTATTTAGTGGTATTTTTTTTTGGAGATTTTCCGAAAATTGCCCTCCCGTTCGTTCCTCTCACTCAATAAAATTTTTTTTTTTCGTTTTACAGGTTCAGTTATATGAAGACTTCGCCAAGTCTCAGGTCAAGAAAGGTTTGGAGGAAACAGTTTCTCACATCGATGAAGAAAACAAAAACGAGAAAGCAAGAAAAGATAATCCTCACGTTTTCCAGGTTAGTATTGATTTCATTCTTACTGCCATACAACGTTTATTTTACTCGTTTAATCGTGAATTTGATCATGGACACTTGTCTGTCCAGTGCTTACTACAAATAACCTTATACAGTATGAATATTCATTCAATCTGACATGTAAATAATTCCCAGGCTCTTCAGTACCTGCGCAAGCTATGCAACCACCCGCTTTTGGTGCTCACTGCCAATCATCCAGAATACACCAAAGTTATGGACCAATTACATCAACAACATGTCTCCATCCTGGAAATTCAGCTTGCCGCCAAACTCGTTGCTCTCAAGTAAGTCAGGTTATTTGTTAGTGTAACTTTAAGGCATTGTGCGGTTACCATAACAATTATATTTTAACGAATTGCTTACGGATAGACCTTGAACTTTTGCAAGCACTCTTTTTAGACTGGCACGCCCAGAGTACCATTGATTTCTGAGTTTCTTAAAAATGGCGGTTTCTTACTTCAATGAAATTCATAAAATCCCTCACTTAATGTAAGGTCTTCTCTGTTTTCATCCTTTCCTTGTAACCAGTTCATAAAAACTACTGCGCATTCTGTCACCCTGATAGCAGCATACTTTGCTTAGAGGTGAAAAATGAAGTCATCTTTTCCTATCAAGAATATTCCCTCGTCATAACATATGTTGGCGTTTAGGCGTTTGACCTTTAGCTGATTGTGAAAATAGTTTTGTTTGATGTACGCCTCAGGTGACTCTAGTTGAACTAATTCTCTCTTTCTGTCTACAAATTGATCTACAGGCAGCTGCTGATGGATTGTGGGATAGGAGTTAGCTCCTCATCCTCAGGCTCCAGTGATCTGTCTTCAGACCCTGTAGTGTCCCAACACCGGGTGCTGTTGTTCTGTCAGTTAAAGAGCATGTTAGACATCGTTGAATGATCTTCTTAAGTAAGGGCAATATTTTTGTTTTTGTTTAAATTGTTTTTTTTCGCGATGCTTATTGATATTGCTGCAGTCGTCTTTGGTTTGTCCATTTGACAATTAACCAAAACAAGACTCTACGTGTACTTGTTCGTGGGTAGTACCTCGCCGCTACGTCTCATGTTGTCGCTGTGGTGATCGAACACGTTTAAAACAGTTTATATTTGTACGACGTGTTGCAAGGACAAGGTATCATTTTATCAAACTTTTCTTCATTTAATACCAAGTGAATTGTCCGAGTGGTAAATATTCACTTTAATATTCAGTCTTTGGGAGTGGAAAGATGTAAAG